CCGACCAGTGGGTCCTAGTTATTCATGGGGGCGAGGAGGACCGCAACCTGAAAGAAGAACGGGCGAGAGAGAGAAAGGACTCAAGCAAACATTTGCTTGTCAAGAGTCATGTATTTGAACATGAAATGCTTTTTTATTGCATGCTTTACAAGGGGAGGGGGTAAGAGGGGCCAGGTGGTGGAAAAGTACAGAATCTTCTTGGCCTGTGCCTTGAAACATGTCATGGTCTATATGGTACACTGCCTTGAATTATGATCTACCTGCTATTCTTCAGAAGATATGGTGCACTGCTTTGAGTTATGGTCTCCCTGCTATTCCTCAGAAGATATGATACACTGCTTGCCAAGCAGGATCTTGCAGTTGCCAAGCTGCAGGGGACATTATGCAGGTGGGGAAAGGTAGGGGGTGAGGGTAAGGGCGAGGGTCCTGGCTTCTGGCAGAAAGCTAACTCAATGTCAGTTCTCCCTACACACACACACACACACACACACACATTCACATGGCTCACACACACACCCCTCTCACAACACATATACACACACAGCTCATCCAAGCACAAATGCACATACGCAGTCATATCGCTCACTCACACACAAACACACACATGCTCACTCACACACAAAACTGGCTACAGGTACTGGGGAGGCAGCTCCAGGACAGAGTGCTAGTAAAGGGCTCAGGGCTCTAGTGTACCTGTCTATATGGTGTGGTGTTTGTGTATCTGGAGTTGTAAAAGAATGGTTGAAGAGATTCTCTCTGGTGGTGGTTTGAATGCAAATATCACCCATAGGCTCATATATTTGAATGTTTAGTTCCCTGTTGGTGGACTGTTTAGGAAAGATTAGGAGGTGTGGTCTTATTGGAGGAGATGTGTCTCCGAGGATGGACTTTGAGGTTTAAAAAGCCCACACCAGGCCCAGTCTCTCTGCCTCTAACCTGTGGATAAAATGAACGCTCCCAGCTACTGCTCCAGCACCACGCTTGTCTGCTGCTGTGCTCTGCCATGATGGCCGTGGAATCATCTTCTGACACTATAAGCAGACAAATCCACAATTAAATGTTTTCATACATTGCCTTGGTCATGGTGTCTCTTCCCAACAACAGAAAAGTTGATATCTATCTATCTATCTATCTATCTATCTACCTACCTACCTACCGATCTATACACACACATGTATATGTATATAGACACACATATATATGTATATATTAATTTGCCAATACCCATTTACCTCAAGGTTCTATTATAAAGTGGAAATTTACAAGAGGTAGAACAGTACCTGTATATGTTCTAAGTATAAGTTCTTGTGAGTGTGTCTTAGGGTTTTATTGCTGTGAAGAGACATCATGACCATGATAATTCTTATCTTAAAAGGCAACATTTAATTGAGGCTGGCTTATAGTTTTAGAGGTTTAGTCCATTATCATCATCCTCAGGCAGCAGAAGGAGACTGTGTGTCACACTGGATGTAGCTTGAGCATATATTACCTCAAAGCCCTCCCCTACAGTGACACACTTCCTCCAGCAAGGCCACACCTTCTAATAGTGCCACTCCCTGTGGCCAAGCATTCAAACATACGAGTCTATGGGGGATACAGATATTCAAACCACCACAGGTGGGTTTGCAGCTGGCTTTGGTGTCCCTGAGCTTCACGGCCACTTATTCAGCCAACTGCAGACTGAAAATGTAGTCAGTATCTACAGAACATGTAGAGTGTTTTTCTGTTCATCTTCTCCTGGATGCTATATAACAATTATATAGCATTTACACTGTATTAAGTAGTGCATATAATCTAGAGGCTGGGTGTGTTATATTACACCTCACCCTTGTGGTCCCAGCACTTGTAAGATGGAGGCAGGAGACAAACTCAAGATCATCCTCAGCTGCACAGTGAATCTGAGGCTAGCCTGAGGCATGCAAGACCCTGTTTATTAACCAAGACATGGGACTGGGGGGACGGGCTTGTTGGCCAGCAGTGCTTGCTCTGCAAGTATGAGGACCCGAGTCTTAGTTCCCAACACCAATATCAAAAGCTTGGCATGGCTGTGCACGCTTGTAACTCCCGGCCGTAGGAAGTGTAGACAGGTAGAGCCTGACAGTGTGTTAGACCAGTAGCCTAGCCAAGCACTGAGCTTCCAGTTCCGTGAAAGACCCTGTCTCAAGGCAGTGAGGCAGAGAGTGATAGAGGGGTGTGCTTCAAGACCTTCTTTTGGCCTCACTTTTTCAAAACCTACTTTAATAAGGATTCTTAAAGGTCCCTTCTAGCCCACCACCTACCAGAGATAGTGGAAAAGAAAAAATAGGAACCGGGGTTGTGGACCTGTTTAGAAATAGTTCTTTGAGGCTATTCCAAAAACCAACCCGAATCAGCATCAGCAGCCCAGAACCGCTAGGCTCCACCAGTCCTCCTGAATCTGCAGAAGCGACAAGAAGCCACCAGAATATCATGAGAAGTTCTTTGGCAAGTTACTCTCTATGAAGTCACAACAAGTGAGGATCGGTAATGTGTGCAAGGCAAACAAATGCCAGAGCCTCCTCCCACTGCCCGTGGGGTCATATTTGTCATCTAAACACCACACGTCCTCTCACGTGTCTGCTTCAGCAAAACAGCCTTTCGCCTGTCTGCCACAGCACAACATCATACGACATAACTGAGTTTCCAAAGAAACCAGAAATTTCCACTTCAACCCTCCCTGGCTTCCCTATATACACACCTGGGTGTTCGAACCTGCATAGTCATGTACACACACACACACACACACACACTGATAACACAGACACAGCAAAAGCAATAGTGAGGCTTGGTAGGCAGAGGCAAGCAGGTCTCTTTGATTTGAGGCAGTCTGGTCTGCAGAGTGAGTTCCAAGATAACCAGCGCTTCATAGAGAGACCCCGTATCAAAATGAACAAAAAGCAAAACAAAGAAAGCCCACACCAAAATTTTAAAGAGTAATCAAGGGATGGTCTAAAACACAAGCAAACACTGCACCATCTTAGATAACGGGCTTGAGCACCTACAGGTACCAAGACTGGGAAGAACACACAAGCTACTAACCCTGTTCCGCACGGCAGAGAACAGGGCAGAGGGAGCAGAAGTGGGAGGCTTCTCAGTGTTCAAACTTCAGAAGCACATGAGATTTACCAGTTCTAATTTTTAAAAAGCAAACTGAACTACCAACGCCAACGCCGATGTTCCCGACTAATTTGGACTCATCAGCTGCTAGAGTTCTCCTAGCCGAGGTGAACCCTGAGCGTTTGATGTGTTAGGATGCACACTACTGCCTCTGCGGGGTTACCTTGTGTGCCAGGGCCACAGAGCTGCAGGAAGCCCGCAGTGCCACCGGGTCTTCGCTCGCCTTCACACAGCTTTAGCTTTGCTTCGAGGTCAGGTCACCTTGCTGAATCTGAGCTCCCATTTGCTCTTTTGGTCTCAGGGCCCAGCTGACACCAAATTCAAAAGTTGGCCTTCACATTTCCTCTTCTTGTTCTCTTTCTCAGCTCCATCTGGCTATCTTTCATGACACGGTTTCCTGCTCTAAGCCTTGAATAGTGGCAACAGTGGTGGCTGCTGCCTCCTCTTCCTCCTTCTCCTCTTCTTCTCCTCCTTCACTTCTTCCTCC